AAACTTTCATGAATAAAAGTTTTTCTTTAAGTAATTTAAAATTTCCAACGATAGAATTGCCGTTGATAAGTTCAGATAATATTGTTTGACAATTTACACACATGCTCGATACAAAATTTTGAATTATTTAAAGAAAAATTTCTATTCTCATAAGTTTTGATCAGCTTTTCTTGGTTTACTGTGATGAAAAATTTTCTAAATTACCGTCTTTGCACACAATTTTTCTACCACATAAGGCACAAATTTTTTTATATTTTAATCATGACAACAGGCGTGATTTAACTTGTAGTAATGTCATTTTTAAATAGATTAATAATAAATCAACTACATGTACAAAACTTTGAACCAATTTTAGCCAACTTGTTATCATTTATTTTCTTACACGATACAAATACAAATTCTAATAGCAGTAACTAATGTTGCGTATAATAATAAGAATAAGAAGTGATAGAAAATTTGGATAATCTAATGTTTGCATCTGCGGTTTTCTAGGGAAAATACTCTCTTATTATTTTTGTTGACAGTGCGGATTTAAAATTACAATATTGATCATCCAACTTTTATTCCCAAAAATTATAGTTATTTATTATTATTATTATGATTATTATTATTATTACATTTAATAAGTATAAAAAAATTGCACTAGTAATTTCAACTGATCTGAATATCGTAATGAAGCAATTTTTCATTATAATGCATAAAAAAACAATAAATACATAAAAAGTCATGCAGGAGGATTGGTTACGATTTTGAATCTTTGGAATTTTGTTCATTTAGTGTCCAGAGATTCAAAATATATGAGTTTTTTTTCAGCATCGGGGACCAACTTTTTCTTCATTTAAGACAGGTGTGTAATGGATTGACAATTTCTACATCGTTATAGCAGAGTTTAATTCGAACTTCTTGGTTTGACATGATTAAAGTTAAAACTTTAATAATGGAAACGAACTGTAAAGTCTCATAAACATTCTTAGGCACTAAGGTTGTAGATTCATTATCTAGTACATAGTCGATTCGTTGTCCTAATGGTATTTCTTGGGCTTCGATATAATTATAATTACTTTTGAGAGCATTTATTTGTTGACCTAAGCAACGTAGATCGTCAAATGGACTTTTAAAATCAAATTGATTCAACAACTCTTGAGAATCTTCATCATTAAGTATGTTTTTGGCGCTTAAAAATTGTTTTACCTTGGAATGTAAAGATTTTACTGTGTCCATTAAAAGTTCTTCACTTTCATCCATAACGTCTGTTATTATATTTCCCGTCACAGCCGGATTTGCTTGCATTCTAGAGATCATTCTAGTAACTGTGAAGCGATCATGATATCTTTTTGCCATACGCTAATGTAGGTCCGGTTACCTGGGTGATGATTTTTGGTTAACGCGCGAATTTTGATGTGACGTAATATGCATTAGCCTGTCGGTGTCTAAGGGCCATCGAGAAATGTGAAAAGTAGGGAGAAAGACCGGAAAAAATGCTTCTGATTCTGGGAACGATGGCTTGGTATCCTCACTTCGTCATCGTGACTACTATCTGACAGCAGTACCCGTGCCAGCCGCGGACACTGATAGGTGGGCAACATATTTATTTAATTAATTATTCTCGTGTAAATTAATGATTCTTAAAATATTTTGTAATTTCTAAAAATTTTTTATATTTTCTTTTGTATAATATTACTAATAGTGTGGCGAAATTAAATGGTGGACGGATTAAAGGAACCAGCAGTTTTTGTTCATATATATCATATATCTCGATAAAAGTTAACCAAGGATCGTCACTCCTACACAATAAAAAAGGAAAAGTGAATGATTTGGGTCGCTGAAAGTATATGTATATAATTGATGAGAGGTTGGGATCATCCCTGAATCACTGTGTTCCACATCAATATACGACTGCTGTCGGATAAGTATATATTCTATTGTTGACGAAGACATATTTTTATATATCTTTTTTTATTTCATTAGTAATATCTCTTTTTACTATTTTTGGATTCGCGTATGTGTATGTTTAGTAGCATGAATGCGCATACCAATATATGTATGTATAGTCATTGAATTATATTTTGATCAAATTGTTTTTTTTATATTGAAAACTTTATATTTGTATTGCCAAAGAATTATAATTAAGGGACTGCAGCCCGATAACGCGTTATAATATAACAAGATTTAACCAATATTAAAATTTTGAATATTCACTCCATAACAGATTTTTTATTTTATATGTTTAGTTTCACATCATTTTTTTTATTTCTATTATAAATTGTAACATCTTTATTTAAATTGTAAATAGTAATCGAATAATTTTATTGTTCGGTTACAACTGAAAGTCGAAGGTCAAATTCATGATTTACATTATTTTCATTTCTATTTAAATTATCATCGATATCATTGTGAAGACCATCGTCATTAGATTATTCGGATCATGTGCAATGTTGTTTTCTTCATTATTCAAGTTGACCGGAACATTTTCGCAAAAATTCTCGTTCTCTTCGGCTTGAATATTCTGATTTTCTTTTAACTGGACATTAATAAATTTTAAAACGTAATACCAACGTAACCGTATGTTAGTAATAATTGGATTAAATTATTGAGGTGTTAAAAGTCTGGTGAAAGTGCGTCAAATATTAATTTTTTATCAAAATAAGGGAAAGCACTGAAAAGTAAGCATATAGAAGTTGAGTCATCATGAAAAGAATTAAAGAATTTTAAGAGGCGCATGCGTGAATACGCTTTAAAGCAAATTTGTTAGAATCTTGATTTGATAGAATTTTACTCTGTAGAATATTACTGTTTCAGAATATTTAATTATTAGAATGTTACTTTTACAGAATTTCCATTAAATCAATTCTTACAATTTTTATCACGACAAAAATTAATTTGCTATAAATTCAATTTGATCGAATTTAAGTTTGTGTGAAACGTTGTTTCGTAGAATATTAATTTAGCAGAATAGTAATTTTAAAAAATCTTAATTTTGCGGAAAAGAAATTTGTTAGAAATCTATTATAGAAGAATATTTGTTTGTTTGGATTATTTACAATTAATATTTATAGATCTAGTTTTTATATCAGAACTAATATTAAAACATACCTTTGATTTTAATCAGAGTGGTATCGTTTAACACTCCTAACAATTTTTCTATTAATTCTTCCTCGTTCAAATTTTTTAATGAATGCATTTTTTCAAACAATCTAAAATTCATTTAACGAGGTATTAACAACAAAATAAATATTATTAAATAATTTTAATTTAGTGTACTAAAATTGCCAAATTGTTTGAAATTAAAGTATAATTGTTTACTGGTGTCATGTGAAGTATTGTTAAACATAACCTCAAATTTTATTTATATAAAACGTCCTTCATATTTATTACTTTTAAAGTAGAAAACGCAGTGACTTAATTATTTAAATTATTTATTTAAACATAAAGTTAATTTGGTTTTTAAAATAAAATGATATATGTAAAAAATTTTGGCGCGTTATATAGCAATGTCAATCGTCGGCGCCAATACATTAAAAGAAAATTTTGGCATTGTTTTCAAATTCACTCTACACATTTAATTTATTAATAAAATCTTCATATATAATAAAGGTAATACTATTTTCCACTTTTAAAATGAAAATACTGAGCTTTTTCGAACGAAAATTAAATTTGAGGTTAAGTTTGAATGTACTAAGCTCGACATCAGCGATTCAATAGTTGATTATGAAAATTATTGATTGGTACTTACCTAAATCGAATATTAGATATTAATGATTTCCTAAAATTCCCCTCCCTGCTAAAAATAAAATTAGAAATCAGTCTCAAAACGTCAGAAATCCTGACGTTTTGAGACTAATTTGATGTTTTGTGATGCTGCTGACTAATTCTGACATATGAAAATAAGATATTTGGAAGATTCAAGTTTTCAAGATTCTAGACATACAAAAAATTCTATAAATAGTTAAAAATTAAAAAATTGAATAGTTAATTTCTATGAAAATTTTAAATATGTATTTGAAATCTGAGTTGAAATCCTCAGGACAATTTTTTTTATTCCATTCAAACCTCTTATTTACTTTTACCCACTACAATTTACCTTTTGTATATATTCCCTTCTTCCAATAGAAGGGTCCTTTCGAGGGTCCTTCAGGTTTTATGACTTTTTAACGCAAAATAAAAAATTATTTAAATTTGAAAAAATATTTTTTTAAATGTTATATTTGTAATTATTAGATTTTAACGATTCCAATTCCAAATTCCTTGGAAGGAATAAAATAACATAAAAATTGTATGTTATTAATATTGTTTATTGTCACAAAACAAGAAACGACGTTGCGATGACTTGGTTCGTCATCATCTTCAGGTTAAATCTAATGAAAATATTTATAATTTTATTTATAACAACACATTATCTTTTTTTTTAAAATGATAAAGAATAAACAAGTTGTGGCCACTATTTTAAACACCTACCCACACTTACACAAATATTTTCTAATACTCGTATTGCAAATAAAAAATTGTTAAATAAAAAATAACAAATATATTAGATAGCACACAAACATTTATACAACACACACACACATTTAATAATGTTTACTCTTTAGGCTTATTATGTTAAATAAACAAAATTCAGAGTATTCAGAGTTCAGGTAAATGCTGTAGACCCTTTTCACATCTGCCGTTTTTATTACTTTGTTTTTCCCAATTTATGCAAGTCTAGACTTGCAAACCTATTAGGCGTACCTACAGTACATGACTCATTTTTACACCTAAATGTATCCCTTCCTAATTACAATTTAGTCAGTACCTTCTGAGCTTTCGTCCTGAACACAACCTCTTCTCTCAACACATATACATATTGAATAAAAATAAAATTCATCCAGTATTTGGATTTCAATTATTTGTTTTTGCAACCGATCACCAAAGTGGTGACCCCGACGTGATCTATTGCTTATTACGTTAAGTAACGTGTGATTTGTGCATATTTTTTAATTTTTTAATCGTGTTGGAGCAAGATGGTGAACGAAAATGATAATGGTGATGTTTTCCATCCCGCTGTACAAAACGCAAATTTAAACGAGATGCTCCCGGCTTTTCTGTTCGCTGATCCTGAATTGTGGTTCTCATTGGTGGAACAGCGTTTTAGAGGATTGCAATTGACAAATGAAAGTGACAGATATACATGTGTCGCGAACGCGTTGGACCCAAAGGTTGCATTAGAAGTGCGTGATGTAATTGTTTCTACTCCTCCCAATAATCCATATACTATATTAAAAGCGCAAATACTCATGCGGTTAAGTGCATCTCAAGAAGAAAAAACTAGGCGGTTATTAGAATTGGAAGAAATGGGCGACAGAAAACCTTCGCAGTTTTTACGTCATCTCCAAACTCTCGCGGGTACTACTGTACCGGACGCGATGTTACGAACGCTGTGGATGCATCGCCTTCCGAATAGCGCGCAAGCAATTTTGGCCGCCCAACAAGAGCTTCCCTTGGAAAAGATCGCGGAATTAGCAGATTCAATTATTGAAGTCAATGCTCGAAGTCGTCCAGCTGTTGCAGAAGCATCCATAAACACTGCTTCAGTTGATATAATTTTACAAAAATTTGATCAAGTAGTAGCCACGATGACAGCAAATATGGGGGCGATGAAACTTCAGATTGCAGAGTTACAAATGAAAGTTGACAATAACCGATCGGGACATCCAGGTAGATCACATTCTCGGGGACGTTCACAATCTCGCGGAAGAAGTGCATCAAATGGTGTGTGCTGGTATCATAGTCGTTTTCGTGAAAAGGCGACAAAGTGTTTGAGACCGTGTACGTTTAGCGCGGGAAACGAGATGGGCAGTCGTTAATGGCGACAGACGACCTTGGCCCTACAACATCGCGCCGTATTTTTATCAGTGATTCAGAGTCAAATATACAGTTTTTAGTGGATACTGGTGCAGATTTGTGCGTATTTCCTCGCGCGTTACTCCGTCAACCACGAGAAAAGTCATCTTACGAACTTTCCGCGGCAAACGGGTCAACAATCGCGACGGACGGCACCACTAATATTACGCTAAATTTGGTGCTTCGACGAGACTTTCCGTGGAGATTCGTGGTCGCGGACGTAACTAAAGCCAATCATTGGTGTCGATTGCTTAGCATACTACGACTTGTTGGTAGATGTTAAAAATCGAAAATTGATAGACTCTTTGACGAAAATCGCGGCGATAGGAACGGCGGTAAATGGAGAAGTGTGTAAAAGTGATCTCAGGATCTACCGTGTATCATGAATTATTGTCGGAATTTCCGGAGATAACGAGACCAGACGGTAGAGCTACCGTGAAGCACGATACCGTCCATCATATTAAAACGCGAGATGGACCTCCCGTGGTGAACAAACCGCGTCGTTTAGCTCCAGACCGTCAGCGGGCCGCGAAAAAGGAATTTGACATGTACGTAAAGCTCGGTTACGCGAGGGCATCGAAAGCAAAATGGTCATCGCCACTACACATGGTCCCAAAGCCCGGGGAAGAGTGGAGACCATGTGGAGACTACCGTGGCCTGAATGCAATAACAGAACCCGACCGTTATCCAGTGCGACATATACAAGATTTTTCTAACAATCTTGCTGGAAAAACAATATTTTCAGTAATTGACCTTATAAAGGCATTTCACCAAATTCCGGTTGCCGAGGAGGACATTTGTAAAACAGCCATTATAACGCCGTTTGGATTGTTTGAATTCCCTCTTATGACGTTTGGGTTACGGAACGCGGCTCAAACGTTTCAGCGATTCATAGATGAGGTTTTCCGCGCTTTGGATTTTTGTTTCGCATATATTGACGACATTTTAATTGCGTCAGATTCGAAAAAGGAGCATAAAGAACATTTAAAAATACTCTTCGCGCGTTTACGGGAATATGGTGTAATTATCAATCCGTCGAAGTGTATTTTTGGACAAAGTGAAGTGAAGTTCTTAGGATACCTGGTCAGTGGTAGTGGTACTCAACCTTTACCGGAAAAGGTTGAAGCAATTAAAGCATATCCTCGACCAGAGACTGTGAAACAATTGCGTCAGTATTTAGGTATGTTGAATTTCTATAGGCGATTCATACCTAATGCGGCAAAAACGCAAGCACCATTGAACGAACTTTTACAAGGAAATGTCAAGGGGAAAGTTCCTGTAAAATGGACACCGTCAGCTGAGAAAGCATTTGAGGAGAGCAAAAATACTCTAGCTCATGCTACACTGCTCGCGCATCCCAGAGAAAACGCTCCGCTCGCTATATTTTGTGACGCGTCAGATTTTGCAATTGGTGCAGCACTGAATCAACGGATCGGAAATGAATGGGTACCTTTGGCATTTTTCTCCAGAAAATCGAGCACCGCTGAAAGGAATTATTCAGCATATGATCGAGAATTGCTAGCAATTTACGAAGCTGTAAAATACTTTCGTCATATGCTGGAAGGAAGGATATTTACCATCCTTACAGATCACAAGCCAATCTGTTACGTTCCGAACTAGGCGTGGTTTTTAAATAAAATGAATTTTATTTACTTGAATGTAATAAGGCTGATTAATCAGGTTGGTAAAGCCTGATATTTATTTTTATGTAGGATCGTGGTCACTTGTCAAAACTACGGGTTTTGCGTTACAATAACAAGTCAAATATTCCCTTTTATAACATTTATTGATTAAATAATAATTATATAGTAATGATTATACAATAATGATACAAGTTTACAATTCTTTTACTTACTTTTAGCAATGAAGTCGGATAAATCGATGATTATAGCTTAGTCGTTATAAATTGGTTTTGATTTGATTTGAAATAGTTCGTTTTGGTCGCACTTGTGTAACTTTAACGACTTAGATTGTTTTATAACTATTTAAAGAATTACAATATTCTTTATTGTTATTTCTCGTCACTCGCACCTTTGACAGGAATGAATTTTATAGCAGGTGTAAGAGAAGCAACATATACTAAATTGACAAATTTAGAAAAAGAGATAATGCAAGATTTCTTTAGTATTTATAGTTATAAATACGACAGTTATTTCTATTAAATTATTGATTCTAAGTGTTAATTTGCTTCTCTTGAACCTATTGGCTATCAGGAAAGAACTATGTTCTAAGTGAAAAGTCAAATTAACTTGCACCTATTGGCTATCAGGAAAGAATACAATAATTAGGGCGAAAGTAAACTGAAGGGTCGCTCTACGATGTAAGAGATTGCACCTGAACTTCTGACAAGCTTTATGGAAAAAGCTCTTGTTTATATACTAGTCGATTATGCTAATTAGTGGGAGAAATGTCATATTATTGAGGAAGGGGTGATCTATAAATAGAATCACTTTCCTTATATGGTAATGATCTACATCGCATGTATGACATTGAATCTTCTTCTTTCTGAATTCTCTCTTTTATATGCTGACAATGGGCTTTTGAAGATCATATTACACTTGGATCTTCACAACCTTCACATTCTTCACGCGTATAAACAAACAAGCTCGAACTTGCTTCACATTTTGCTTACATATATCCTATTTTTAGCTTTTCAACTTTCTGAACTTTTATGGTGAAAACGAATGTCATATCTCTTTTGAGATCGATTTCGTTTCCACACTCTATCCTATCAATATATACATAAATAAATACATTAAAATAAGACATATAGTTTAAGTATTGTAAAATTATCATAGAATTATATAAAATGTCTTATTTTAATGATAATTTTAAGGAAAATTAGGGAAAATTGTTACCGGGATGTAACAGTCTCCCCCCCTTAGATTTTTCATCGTCCCGATGAAATTAATTCCAGTTGTCGCAGATACATGATTATAAGACTGGAATTTTTGAAATTGAGACTATCTTTTAATAGTCCTTACGCTTACTGACCTACATTCATTGTGACATTGATATCTCTTGAGCTTATCTGTAGTAGTTAATATGAAGACAAAAATGGTGAAGTGACATCAAAATGAATCTACAATGTTGTGATGCGTGTTTGTGTATTCAAAGTGTTATGGCTATCTTCTTGAGGTAGGTATGAATTTCTTCTTTCGTGGTATAGTTAATGACCTTACGATTGTTGTGTGCGTGCATTAGAATTGTTTAAGTCAGCATTTTTCATCCCTTATGATGTAGGAGGTCTGAAGATCTCGTCAGTTTGCTTGCACTTACAATGGAGAGTCAATCGTTGTCTGACAATAGTAAGTAGTTTTCGGAAAAGTGACTTGTGATGTATATTTAAAATAATTAATTGTGAATTATGTTCCCATATTTGCATTTTTGCAGTGTCTAAAAAAAATGCGGATCAAATCTGATCAATTTCTTTTTGACAGTGCAAGGCCTTGCAGCATCCATATTTTACTCTGCCGAAGAGATCGAATTTTTAGAGGAAATGACCCGGACAGGACGTCCTCGTAAGGGAGCAGTAAGGGATACTACTGTGGAAAAAAGGGTCAGGCAGAGGCAGTTAAAAGGGCTAAAGCAGGAGTTAAAGAATAACTCCGAAACTATGACGTCTATGTTTAACTTGCTGTTGTGAGTATACTTATGTAATTTTCTTCGTTTTCATTTCTCTTTTGTTCATTTATTTTATCCTTAACTCATATGCTTAATTCTATTTGGTTTTTCTATTGTTTCAGTCGTGCTGGTCGACCCGTTGGCTGTTTCTGCGGTGAGTGTCAGGAACCTCTTCCTCCTGCCAAAAGGGCGAGAGTATCTTTGGAAACTGGTAAGCCTTTTCCGATTATTATTATTATTATTATTATTACATACAAACACACATATATATATTCTTTCTTTTTTTTTAGCTCAAGAAGAGGGACCTGACACCGTAGAATCAAGGCCAAGAGTTTGGCCCAAGGCGATGGTTTGGCTAAAGGAAGGGGCTGAGGAGGCTATTTCCGCTTGTCCAGGTTCTTCTCGGGAGCCTCAGCCTGGTCCATCCTGGGAATCACAGCCCGGTCTTGTTTCTGAGCCGCAGCCTGGGCCCTCTCGGGAGTCAGATCCATTGGAAATTTTGGTGTCTAATCCTAAACCCCTTTGGAGTCCGTTCGATGACGCTGCTGAAGAAATACAATCTAATTCTTCTAAAGGACTGCAGTCTGGGTCTTCCTGGTATGTAAAACCAGAGCCCGAAGAGGATCCTTTAAAATTAGCCTTGTGTGTGTGTGAAACGTGTTTTTTATAGTGTGTGTGTATTCTTAAACAATTATATTTAAGATTTAAATTTAATTAATTGAATTTACACAATATTTTAGATTTTGAGTGCGTTATAAATTTTTTTTTATGTGTGTGTTGTAGAGCAATTGAGTGAGTGTTTCTTTTGAATAAATATGTTTAATTTTGAAAATTTTATATTGCCGATTTTTTTTGTCTTCCTTTTATGTCACTTTATATATTTTAATCTTTTGATATATTGTTTAATAAAATTTTAATAATTAATAAAATTTTTTATTTTATTATTTTTTTTTTGATTTTTAAATCTATCTATTCCAATAAATAAAAATTTAATCAGAATTATTATTGATATATATATAAATATTTTAGTAATTAATTTAATAATAATGATAATAATTTGATTAATAATATAGTTTATAAATTTTTAATCGTAGATAGTTGTATGCGTAGAAATACATGCATACTCACATACAGAAAGATATATACATACATACAGAATTGCTGTATTAATAATTTCACTATTTATAATTTTCAATATATAGTTTTAGGCATATAGAATTTTGAATAATATTAATAGGTGTTGGATCCATCGATCTATCGATTAAATCGATGAATCCAACGCGAAACATTCGTTTTTAGTGTTAGGGAACTAGAATGCGCACGGAGGTAGGTTCCGCGA